GTATGGATATACGGTTGGAGGTCTCGTTAGCGGTATTATCGGTGACTAACGATCACGATCGTCAAGGCCTTAAGTTCTGCTCGACTGATGCGTCGCCGACTCGCGGATTCTGTCTCTCTTTTTTTCGCGTGGAAAAGTTATCGGTTGTGTGCCGCTTGTATATATAGCGATATAAGCTGGTTGTTGTGCAGTATTTTTGGATCTCATTAAGAAATTCTTAAAAAGCATTATGGGCGCATTTCCTTATCTCCCTTATCGCTCGAACTTGGGTCGTATTGGAATAGACAGAGGAACTGATAACTGGGGGAAAGAGTAAAAGAGAACGTTCTTCGTCCAATTGCATTTCACGAGCAATATTTATTAATTTGTTAGTAAAAATAATTTCGATTTTATCTCGCAACGATCTCGAAAGGGAATAAAAAGAAAAAAATAGAAGATGGTAAAAATTGAAAAGACTTCGGTTAAAAAGAAAAGGAAAAAATTATCGATTCTTATCTTATCGAAATGGCTGGGCGACTTCGATTAGAAACACCTTGTATTTCTATTGAAAATATTCTATACGTCTGAGAAAAAAGAAAAAAATCATTACTTGCAATGTTAACACAGAAAATAAGAGAAGTTTCGTTCATTCGTTCCAACACTCGTGCAACGACAACACGAATTCTTTAAACAAGATTTTCAAAAGTAGCTTTGAGAGGATCCATCCTTTGGTCTATCCAAACGTCTATTTTTAACTCGGTTTATATTTAAAACTTTACAAGATTGAAGTTCAAGAAATTGTTCATACAAGAATTGTATTATTATATTCGCGCAATGTGAAATTTACATATCGTTGTCACGTCAGGAAAAAAAGACATCCACAGCTTCGATATTTTCATATGATAAAAAACGCTTAAAAATCGTTCCAATGATTTGCAATCATTTAACGAAGGTTCGACTTTAATTCAACGATTAAAAAATGTTTGGACGGATAAAAATTCACGCTCGAGACGAGGAACTGTTCGTGGCCCAGAAACCGAGACCAGAGGTCGGTGGTACGTAGCGCTGGTCAAAGATCTCTGGTTGCGCGGTGAGCGACGAAGAGCACAGGCGCTGTAACGCTTGTGCGGCCTCGTCCGATCGTTTAGCGTAGTTCACGAATCAGCCTTAATCACGGTGACCTCGTGCCTCTGTTTACGAGCCGAGACATCGTCACGGTGCCGACTCTATGCCATCGATTTTTACCTTTCCTTCAGTTTCAGAACTCGCTCGTTTTTTCCTTTCTTTCTTCTTTTTATCGCTTTGGTGCAAGCGAAATGCGATACTCGCGAATAGGATCGCGAATTTCTTAATATTAACGATGGAACTTTAATTATTTAACTCGATATTCGAAAACAACTTGGACAATTTCTTCCTCTTTCGTTGCAAATTTCCGACACTTGTATATATCTCGACAATTCTTTTTACAAAGTATTTTTAAGTAAGAATTTCTTATTAAACGATCGATATTTTTCTATTCAATATTGGTTCGAACGATAACAGTCTTAATCGCGGATTAAACGTAATTTGCCGGCAAGGAAACCGATTTGATTCGATCGGAACAAATTATTTGGAACGTAACGATATTGAATAGAAATACAAATCGGCTTGAAACGCAATGAAAAATCGTTTCAACGTTTCACGGTGGCGAAGCCGTATCGGCCTTGGATTGGCTGTTATTAAACCGCTATCACGGCGCAAAATGCGTTCGACTTCTTTGAATGAA